GTCCAGATCTGGTCTCTCCAAACCTAAGAACATACGAGAACCGTCTATGCGTGTCCCAGTTGGTCAGCTGGGACTGCGTCACAGTCAGATGCCTTGCCAGGCAGATGGCTTAGGGAGAGAGCCACAGGTTTGGAGAATTTGTACCTGGCCGCTGTTATGGGCTTTCCCCAGCTGCAAACATTCACGTGCTCACTCATCAGATACTGAGAGGCAAAAGAGCACACTGGATTCTAAAGCCAGACTCCTGAGTTTGAACCCTGGTCCTGCCATTTTAATAGCTGTGTGACATTAGGGCAGCTGTTTTAGCTCAGTTTTCCCACCTATAAAATGGGATAGTAGCCACACCAGCCTCATAGGGTTGTTGTGAGATTTTTTTAAAACTGATACGTGTGATGTCTGGCTGATATTTATTACGTATCAAACAGCTTTCACACTCCAGACACTGTCGAGGTCAGGGGTCAGCAAACTTTTCCTGTAAGGTCCAGATAATAAATATTTTTGGCCTTGTGGGCATTAATGTCTCAACTATTCCAACCCTGCTGCTATAGCCCCAAAGCAGCCATAGACAATAAGCAAAGAATGAGCATGGCTGTGTTCCAATAAAACTTTATTTATAGACACGGAAATGTGAATTTCATATCAATTCACCTGTCACTAAATATTATTCTTCTTTTGATTTTTTTATTATTAAAAATGTAAAAATTACTCTTAGCTCAAAGTCTATATAAATATAGAGGGCGAGCTGGATTTGACCCATATTGACTGACCCCTGGTCGAGACGCTGGAGATGCAGATGCCGTAGGAGCCCACAAGCTTCCCTGAGCCTGGGAAGGGCTCCTTCACAGCCCTCAGGCTACTATGCCCCCACCAAGCTCTCTGACCTTGTCTTAAAAGTCTCTCTCGAAACGGGGACACTGAGACTCTGATCAGGCCAGGGTTAAGAAATGGCAGTTCAGTTCCAAGCCCTGGCATTTTGAGCTCTAATTCCTCTAAGATAAATTTCAGACTCCAGAGACCCAATGCACAAGTGTGTCACCAATCCAGCACACCGGAAGAGGTCTAACCTTGCATCTGGAATAGAACACAGAGCCCCAGCTGGTGGGAAGCCCTGCTGAGCAGGGAATTTAGAGGTTATCTGGGTTGGGTTTGAAGCACTGCAAACATTTGCTTCTTTCAGAGGACAAAAGCCAGAGCTGATGGAAGGATGACAAGATAGGCATTCCTGGATGAGGAGCAGGGCTTCTGAATGTTTGGGGCAGCCTCTCTGGAAGACACTAATGGCCAACAACGTTCACCTGGGGAAAGGCCTCTGCCCACCAGACTCTCGGGACTTCACACCAATCTGCCCAGCCACCTCCCCACTGGTCTCCCAGCCCCGCCTCTCCCTGCTCCTACGCCTACACCCAGACACTGAGTGATCTTCCACCATGACACGTTTGTTGTATCCCCTTCAAGACACCGTGAGGACCCCCGGCTTCCTCCCCCATCAAATCTAAATCCTTCTACTTGGTTTCTAAGGCTCTCAGACTGACCCTTTTCCAACCACACAGTGGACCTCCCGGGACACCACCATCCTCTGCACCTGTGTGTGTCCTGCATCCCAGAAGCCCCTGCTCCCACCCTCTGCCACACCTGGTCACATCCAGCCTTGACCTTTATATGAAGAGATCTTGCAGTAGGGTCACAGAAGAGGGATTTAATTGTGCTTCAGTTTCCTTATCTATAAAATGGGGAAAATAGGAGCACCAACCTCATGGGGTTGCTGAGATTTAATTAGAACACGTGTGCCGAGCGTCCCCTGAGTGGTACCAGAGTCGCCACTGTATTTGGAAAGGGCACCAGCCAGCAGCGGCCAGCCCTGTCTGACTGAAGAATAGGTTCACCTCTTCCCTCTTTGAATATTTTTAAAGTTACCATTTGAATGACACAATTACCACAAAAGATTTCCAGGGTAGGTGTCCCTTCTCCCCATTTAGGCTACAAACCTTTTGTACTGAAAGCATTACGCCTTCCCTGGCCCTCCACGGAGACTCTGGGCCTCCACGGCCCTGGGTTTGGACTGCCATTTGCTTTTCCCTAATCTATTGAAATGCTGCCACACACTCTGGTGTCCTTTCTTTTGTGAGGAGCTTCAGGGTAAAGGCCAAAGACAAGTTATCTTCCTAGTACAGCACTTTGACAGGCCAACAGAGAATCTGATCAATAGGGTGGCCTGGAGACGGTCAACATTATATATTTAAGTAACAAAAAGAAAGGGCTTTTGTTAAAATGACCCTCTGAGCGGCAGTCGAGCTCTAAGTGGACAGGAGAATGCCATCTGGGCAGGGGCTGGCCTCCACCAAACCTGTCACTCGAGGAAAAGGCCTTCCAGGAAAGGCCCGACATCCACAGCGTGGCAGGCCCTGCCCATTGTTTCCACGAGCTTCAAGAATCCAGGCTCCCCACCCAGAGCCCCCAAAGGTATGGCCAAAGGTTAATGGGCTCCAAAGGGAGGGCAGGAGGTATATAAGGGCCCATCAGACCAGTCAGACACCAGTGGACAAGCAGAGAGAGGCTCTGCCTGGCCCACTCAGACCACACTCACACTGTGAGTAGCCAGAGAAGGTGGGCGGGGGAGGTATCAGCAGTAGCCTGAGGATGGGATGTGAGCCGAGCCCGCCCCGTCCAGAGCTCTCCGGGGTGAGCTGACCCGCTCCTGTGGCCCTCTGCCACCTTCAAATACCCACCTGGGCTTCAGACTGAGTACCCCGAGCTGGCTTCCAGCGTACGGGTTAAAGCTGTACACAGCGGGCAAGCGCAGGGCTGCCCGGAGGCGTGCAGGCTGGAGGGAGGAGCAGGGGGTGCAAATCCTGGCAAAAGTGAAGCTGTCTGGGGTCGGTGGTGCCATCGACTGCAGGCCGGGAACCCAAGCCAGAGCCCGGCCTGGGTGCAGGGCCATCCCACTTGGCATGGAGTCTTGGCCCCGGGAAGTTAAGGGGAAAGGCTGGGTCCCTAGGGAGACGACACGGCTGGGCAAGACTAGTGGGGCCCAGGCTTCCTCAAGGAGAGAGAGAGAAGAGACAGGTGCCCCCTCAGCCAGAGCCGAGCGCCGGAAGCCTGGAGCCCCACTCCCGGTGACGGAAAAGGAAAATCAGCAGCTCGTCATATGAAAAGCCCTCGCTCCTATTCTGAGCTCCCCGGAACGCAAATGAATGTAGGTGACATGCCGGCTGCCAGTTGGAGCACGAAAATGAGCAGCAATTGGATTTTTGCCTTTTTTTAATTTAAAGTTTTTATTGATTCTTCTGGAGTGAATTAAATGTGAACACCAGAATGAAAAGGGACCCATAGCATCTCCGTGAAGGAAATGGGACACCATTAATGTGACACAGCTGTGTCCTCTGAAAGGGAGCTCTGTTACCTCAACAGAGCACAGGGCCTCAGTTTCTGAGACGTGGTCTTCAGTGGGTGGGTGGTCCGTCCCACCCTCCTGGGAATTTGTATGCAGCCGGCATGGGGGGCTTTGGCTGTCTGAGCTGTCGTGTTCTTTCTCGTGGAGTTTTAGCGACATGGAGAGACCAAGTAGGACAGGGCAGTGGGAGAACAAGAAGGCAGAGGGGCCTTCACACAACCAAGGAGACGGGTCCTAGTGGAGAGGCAGGACGCAGGCCCACAGCCTTGGAAGATTCTCTCCAAAGGGAGAGTCGAAGTTGGACCTGCAGGGAAGCTTGGAGGCCAGTCTGGGGCAGGACCTTCTCCTCCCAATGGAATCCAGCCCGCCCAAGGGAGCCCTGAGGTGACCCCCAGAAGCTCTTTATCTGAACCCTGTAATCCCCCCACCCCCGCTGCAGCAGAGGCTGCTCCGGTCTCCCTTCCCTGCTCCAGGGGCCTGCCCGCTGTGGTGCCCTTCTCCCCTTTCTGTGGGCAGAGGCCACATGGAGAGCGTATTAGGACGAGCGCCGGGCCTCAGAAGGCCAGGCCTCCAGCCCCCGCTGCCTTCATATGGGTCCCTTCACCTCCCCAGGCCTCCTGTACTCCCTAGATCACACCTGCTCCCAGGTGGACATGAGGAGTGTGCGGGAGAGGGCTTGGAATGGTAAGGAATCAACCAAGGCCAGTGCCCAGCAGGCCACGCCCCCCTCCACAGGACCATCCTGCCCCGGCCCCTCTCTCAAGTCCCTGCACTCCTGAGGTCCTCACGCCCACCTGCTCCCTGGTGTCTTGGCAGCCCTCCTTCCCGCCAGCCATTCCTGACACACCCACTTCCAGGATGTGGGAGGGCCTCACACATGCTCACACTGGCACCTCGCCAGCACTGGTGGCATTGGTGCGGGTTGTTACAGGGAGGAAGTTGTTTCTGGATGGCGACCAGCAGGCAGCTGGACTCGCTGGAGCTGGGAAAGGGTTTGTTCCAGAGCCGGTGCTGGCCCAGAGGGATGGGAACCCTGCTCTGCTCTTAGATGCTGCTCCAAGCTGAAGTCTTCCAATCTGGCTCTGCCTCCGCATGGGCAGAGGGTCTGCGCCCTTCCTCTCTAGACCTGGGGTCTTGGCCCAGTGCTCCCAGGCAGAGCTGGAATCAGCTGGGCCTGGGTCCATCCCTTTTATCATCCTAATCAGCTCAGGGAGCAGGCAGGGTTCTCTGGATCTTGGGGCTTGGTTCTGCTGACAATCTAAGAGTTTTTTAATCTGCAACATGGGGTCCCTCCTGCTTCATTAGCCCAGCTGACCCCAGGAGACCTCGTCAGTAACAAAGGGAAGGGCCACGTGGAATGATTCTTCCCCGGTGTGTGCAGGGGGCAGGGCAGCTTCTCCTGGGTGCTTAGGGCAGAGAGGGGGCTCTGAGTTCCTCTGGTACAGCCCCACACCAGACCCAAGTCCAGACAGGGTAAGTGGCTTGCTCCGGATCACACAGCTCCAGGTGGGCCATGGACCAGAGCTGAGGGCTCCTGCCTCCGACGCAGCAGCCTGTCCCTGTACCCTACATTGGTGACAGGAGCTCCCTGTTTTCGTCCAGCTCCAGGATGCTGTCCTGCAAGGCCGTGGCCTTTCTGCTGGTGGTGCATGCAGCCACCATGCTGGCTTCCCAGACGGAAGCCTACATTCCCATCTTCACCTACGGCGAAGTCCAGAGGATGCAGGTAAGATATTCCCAGGCTGCCCGCCTCCCCAGTGTGGCCGAGTTGACCCACAGCCCTGCTCAGCACTGAAGTCACATTAGTTTCTCTGAGGCATAAGTGTCCCTTCAGTAAACCCACGTTTAATCAGCTATGCCAGGGACACTGAGGCGAATATGAAAAACCAGGACCCCAGATAACCCCAGACCCCAGCCGTACCCCCGGCCACTTCCACTCTTTCACTAGTGCCACAAAGGTATCAGTGGCTCCCACGGGCGACATCTTTTCCCACCCCTGCCCATCCTTCAGGGGAAGTTTTCAATTAACAAGCCAATAAATATTTGTGGAACATCTCTGCATCACAAAGCGCACCCCGGGTGAGAGGCCAGACACGCAAGGAAATCTCAGAACCTCCCGTCTTCAGGGAGCTGGCTCGGGAGCCAAGACACAAACATATGAAAGATTCACTAATAACAGCAAACAAAAGGGAGATGTCACAAGGCAGGATGTGATTAATTGTCCAGTAAGTAATGCTGCTGGTACGCGCTGAGTTCAGGGCAGGAGAAAACATGGTGGGCTGGTGCGGAAGAGGGGAACCTGAGCTGAGGGCCTCGAGAGAGAAGGATGGAGGACAGGTGGGCGCAAATGTCCGAGCGGGAAAGAAGGTGCCTTTCCGGGGAGTGGTGGCCAAAGCCTCCTTCTCTTTAGAGCCCAGAAGAAAACAGGGCAGGCTTAATGGAACTCAGGCAGCAGAGCCTAAGGAAAACTGGGCTGCTGGACCTGCCTCCCTGGACCTTTTACTTTACACATCAAGGAGTTCTGAGTGTCTCGCCACCTTTGTTTCTCTCTTTCTTTTTTTGGCCGCACTACACGGCTTGTGGGATTTTAGGTCCCCAACCAGGGATCGAACCCGGGCCCTCAGCAGTGAGAGTGCAGAGTCCTAACCACTGGACCACCAGGGAATTCCCTGTTTCTCTTTAAATGGGATGAAGTCATGGACGTTCATGTCCCACGTGTCTGAGACCAAGGCTCCAACGGGGATCCATGACTGAGTCAGTTCTCTGGGAGGTCCCGTGGCCCTGAGGCACAGCCTCTGTAGCAACGCGCTCTGTCCCAGGGTAGGTTTCCACACACCCAGTGAACAGCATCCTTTACAGAGGCCAGGCTGGACCCAGCTCCCCTTCTTCAGGGGTGCACATGCAAAGTGATGGAGGAGATACAGAGGCTCCCCTAAACCTACCTTCGTCCACCACTTGGCTCCCTCTGCAGGAAAGATGACCAGCTGTTCCAGAATCACCATGTCCCCGGGCAGGCCCAGAGCTGAACCCCCAGAGTGTCCTCAGAGGAACCAAAGGAATGGGGGTGTATCTGATCTCAGTGCTCAGGGACCTAGCAAGCAGGATGCCCAGCAAGATGTGGGGCTGGACAGAAAGAATCAAACTCAGCGTTACACGAGCTGGCAAAGTGGCAACCAAAGGATGCCTGGCGTTAATCTGCTCTGTGGTTTTCCTCCTCATCATTGCCAGGCACTGGCATTTTTATGAAGAAGCTGCAAACTCCTTCCTCCATAATTCATCTCCCTGTCTTGCCTCATAAATCACCTCCCAGGGGCTCCAGTTTCGGGGCCACCCCACGGCGCCCTCACCATCTTTTTTATAGGCTCTTTGCTAAGAAAAACACATTTTCACACTTAATACACAGGAAGGGCGGCCATTATTTTCAGCATTTTAACTTAATTAACAGTAACAACCTGAGTGTAATGTTTGAACTACAAAGGAACGGATTCCTCTTCTGGTTGACTTGTTGCCGGGCAAATCGAGGGCCGTTGTCAAGCCGCTGGGTGTCTGAGACACCCTGTGAGAGGTGCTGGGAAAAGGGGTTCTTTCGGCCTGAGCGGGAGCTCAGGCCACTTAGCACTCTGGGTAGAGACTCCAAGGGGCCGTATGGATGGTTGAGGGAGAGTGAGTTTTGTACAGTTTTGTGCTCAACCCCTAGGAAAAGGAGCGGTACAAGAAATCCCTGAGTGTACAGCAGAGGTCCGAGGAGGTGGGCCCTCTGGACTCCGCAGAACCCTCGGAGGAAGAAGTAAAGGAAGTTACCGAGGCGAGCAGACAGGGGGCAATGCAGAGAAACCCAGTAGGGGGATGGTCCCCGGCCACCACAGAATGTTCTGTGAACCAGACACTGAGGCAACAAGCTCTATCCTAGGAGGGAGAAACAGATACCGAAGATGAGACAATAAACCATTTTAGGCACCAAATAAGGAGGCAGAGCAGAGAGTGACGGTGGGGCTGGGGACACTGCTTTGGCTGGGGGAGCGGAGGGAAGGCCTCTCAGAGGAGGTGACATTGATGTGAAACCTGAAGCATCAGGAGGAGCCACCCATGCAAAGAGCTGAGAAGGAACACCCCAGAGGAAGGAGCAGGGAGTGCAAAGGCCCGGCTCAGGAAGCCCCTGGTGGGTCGGAGGCCCTCGAGGCCCAGCGGGTGCTGAGAGAGGGCAAGAGGCCAGCAGGGCCTGGTGGGCCAGGCAAGATACCTGGGAGGCTATTGGGGGTTCAGAGCAGGGAGGTCATCTGCTCCGACTCAGAAAGAACGGAGGCGGCAGGAGTGGAGGCAGGATGCCGGTCAGAAGGCAGCTGTGGTCCTCAGGGAGAGACGACGGGGGTGCCGTTTCCTGCCCTAGACTGGAGCCGGGAGACAGCTACTGCGTCAGGACCCAGGGTCCAGGGCCTTGAGCGCCCAGTGAGGATGCACAGATTGTCAGGGCTGGAGAGAGCCTTGAGTTTGTCTAGTAGGACTCTTCAATTTCACAGACTCATTTATTCAGACGGAGAACACTTACTAAGCCTCCGTTACGTGCAAGGCACGCTTCTGGGCACTGGGGATAGAGTGACAAAACAGATAAATCCTCTGCCCTCGTGGAGCTCACACTCCCGGGGAGAACAGAAACAAGGTACTGGAAGCATCAGCAACAGACGGCAAGCAGGGTAAATATGCAAACTTTACAGTAGGTCACGTGGGGATAGGTGATGTGGAGGAAAATAAAACAGGGAAAGGAGATGGGGTGGGTGGTAATTTTAAATAGGGTGATCAGAGCAGGTGTCATGAGTAGATTGGTGTTTGTGCAAAGACCTGAAGAGAGGGAGGGAGTGAACCATAAGGATATCTGAGGGAAGAGCTTTCCAGGCAGAAGAAATAGCCAGTGCAAAGGCCCTGAGGCAGGAGTGGGCCCAGAGGAGAGGGGGAGAGGGAGGAAGGGAGAGGAGAGGGGGAAGGAGAGAGAGAGAGAGAGAGAGAGCGCTTCAGCCCAGCGTGGTCATGGGGGAGGCAGAGCAAAGTGGTCAGATTCTGGAAATATTTTGGAGGTACAAGCCCACAGGATTTGCTGAAAGAATGGATATAGGATGTGAAAAAAGAGAAAAGTAAAAACTGACTTCAAGGTTTTTGGCTGGAACACCTAGAAGGAAGGATTTGCCACTCACTGAGCCGGTGAAGCCTGTGGTTGGCTCAGGTTGGCAGGAAGAAGATCAGGAGGTCAGACTGGACCTGTGAACTGTGAGATGCCTGTTGGGCACCCAGGTGGAGATGTTGCACCGGCAGGTAGATATGCAAGTCTGGACTTTAGGAAAAGTTGGGGCTGGAGACATAAATGTAGGAGTCATCAGCGATTATATAAAATTTCAGGCCAGGACAAGGCGAGATCCTTGGCGGGGCGGGGCGGGTGGATGGAGAAAGAAGAAGTCCCAGGACTGAGTGTGGAACACTTTCCTGTAAAGGGGTCTGGAAGGGGGTGGGGCAGACTGGCAGACTGATATCTAGAGAGAGTGGGGGCCTTGCCAAGGTCACGCAGTGGTCAAGGCAGAACAGAGCTGGACTCCACACCTCCTGCCTCCCAGTGAACACTGGCCAGTGATCTTTGCACCCCCTTGGGTCCCCACAGCATGCTGTCCACAGACAGTGAGGTCACACATGTGGCACAGAGAGTGACCTCGGTGCTGTCACTGCAGCGGAGGAATGGGGGGCACTCTTTTCCTTCCCGAATGCTCCCTGGGCTCTAGAGGAGGGAGCCGGGAGTGAGTCCTCCGCCTGGCAAAGGGGGAGCTCGCTCAGAATTGCCCTCAAAATGCACCTGAGACAGAGTTTATGGCACTGACCCCGAGGTTCCCACAGTACAGGTTATATCCGATGTAACATCTCAGGAGGCTTGGGGTGGGTACCTCTTGTCCCCTCTCCTTATCCTTAGAACCATGACATGCAGGCCAGGAGGTCCTTTCTGGGTCATCCAGTCCAGCCTCTTCATTTTAAAAGTAAGGAAACCATTCCCACAGCAAGGGAACAGCACAGGCAGGGCTGGAACCGCCAGCCTGCAGAGCCGCCCCAAAGGTTGTCCTTCAGGCCTCCTGAGTCCATTTCCCACCCCCGGTGTGTCGGGTGGGAGGTAGGGGAGCAGGCCTGGGACTCCTCCATCGTGGGTCTCTGGAGAGTTAGGGGGTCTTGGCTTGTGCAGCAAGACCATTGAACCAGGAAGCTCTGCGGGGGGGAGATCGGTTGGAGCCCCTTGCTCTGCCCCAACAACCTCTCTTGGTGGAGAGGCTCCAGACAGCTCCTCCATGCTCTTACATGTGTCCCCAAGGTGCTAGAGAAAGCGCAGCCTGGGGGTCCCTGGAATGGACCCTGGAGCCAGGCCCTCTGGGTGTACTTCTCCCTCTGCTATTTAGTACCTGTGTGGCCTTGAGCAAGTTACCTGACCTCTTTGTCCTCAGTTGCCTCATCTGCAAAATGGGGATATTAATCCCCGTTAGTGTCTCTGCATCATAGGGTCATTGAGAGGCTTAACCTACGGAAAGCATTTAGAGTGACACCTGGCACCTGGTACACGCCCACGTGTTAGCTATTATCATTCAGGAGAAGGGGAGGGGACTTTCCTCCTCTGATCCCAGCTTCCCCCACGGGGTGAGGCTGGTTGATCCTCCTCCCTCCCTGCTGGTCTCAGCAACTTACAGGATCCAGCCCCCAGGTGAGAACTGGGGAGAGGGGCCAGAGTTCCCAGAGGACCCCAGAGGATCTGGAAGAGTGGCACGGCTCCCCCGCGGTCCCTCCAACCACCTGTAGGGCACCCAGGGGTCAACGGCGCACTCTGCCTTCTGTTAACTCTGCCTTATTTCACAGCTGATTGCTCCCGTGGAAATTGGCATGAGGATGAACTCCAGGCAGCTGGAAAAGGACCGGGCCACCCTGAAAGGTCGGATGCGTGAGGTGCTGCCGTCCAGCCAGAAGGGTAAGCGGAGCCAGGGCGCCTCTGGGTTCATATTCCTGCAGCGTAGCCAAGCAGGGTTTGGGGGCTGTGATTTGTTTTTCTGCTTTGCTCTTGAGAACCTGAAGCTTCCTTCTACCGCAAGCTCCCACACCCCACCCCATCTCCGAGGGGAGCCTAATCACAGATTTGGTGGGGGTACGGGGAGGGGGCGAGGGGGCGGGCCTCGGATGGCTGCCGGTGGTTGGGGAGGCCCAATTCCCCAGCCAGGGGCGTCTCCAGGCCCTGCCTCCAGGGCTCAGACCCCTTTCCCTAACGCCTTTCTGGCAGAGGACCACAAATGACAGCAACCCCGACCCCTCCCCCTGCACAGATCTGTTCCTTCCCTCCCCAAACGCCGCTGAGGCTGGTTGGTGACTCTAATGGAAACCCTGGCGTAGTATGCCACAAAAGCCTGCATTTTTTTCCCCCCATCCATTCTGCAAATCAAAGTCCTGAGCCCCATTTGGCCTTCCCTGGGTCAAGGTCGGCCTGAGTTACTTGTGCAAAGCTAGGTCCTATGTGACAAACAGCCACCAATTTCTTCTCCTAGTCCCCAGGAGGAGAAGAGAAAGGCCAGGGGAAAATGTTTGGGGCGGAGGAACTGAGAGGTCCCCAGGCTATGGAGAAAGCTAGAGGGAGAGTCTGGCCAGACCTCCCCTGGTTCCTCAGACCTGCAGGCAGGTTTAGAAGGCGGTTTCACAGATGGACCTGATGACACTTCTGAGCTGCAAATTTCCGTTGCTTTTCTCCAGCAGCCAAGTGACAGGTCACCTGGGGGAGAAGCTGGATGGAACTCGGATCCCCCCACCCCCCATCCAGAGAGGCCCCAGGAGCCCATCTGCACGGCCCATCTGCTGGGCTTGGAAGGAAAACACCGTCTCCCAAGCAAATCCCCCTCCAGCAAATAAATCATGAAATATACAGAAATGACTCTTTTATTTAATATTTTAATTTCCAAAGGTCAGAGTCAGGTCATGCCATAAAGAGGGAAATAATAAAGCTCAGAGAGAGTTTGGCCATAAATGGTGCATATATTAGCAACGCATGTGCCTTTTGTAAGTTCTGTGTGCAAATATTAATTGAGACCCACGGAATCGGAAGATTTGCGCCAGCCCTTCCGTTCTAGGTAAGGAAACTGAGTCCCGGAGAGACGGCATCTTTTGCCCATATTCTGAGTCAGTGGCAGAGCAAGCACAGTAACTCAGGCCTCCTGAATCCTCGTCCATTTTCTGTTTACTGACTCGAGGTCTAATGGACCAGAGCGTTTTAAGGCCTCTGCGCTCAACCCCTTGCTGGGTAACTTCCAGCTAGCCCTTTAACCTCAATGAGCCTTTGCAAAAGCAAGGTGGTAATATCTGCCTTGAGATCTGGGGACGGAGGCACCAGCAAAAAGCACATTAATATTATTATTATCACCTTGTGACTACATGCTCCAGCATCTATGGCAAAATTACACAGCCAACCCATTTTATTTCTGCCTTCTAAACAAAACTGGATGGGAAATTTCATTCTAATTTAATTTTACGCTAATGAATGTTCATTTATTTATAAACTGGGGCCATATAGGAACCCAAGCTCCATGCATAGGTTACCAGCAATTAGACAACAGTGCCCATTCCATATCTCCACCCGCCTCAGCCACTTCAAGGGCTTAGCCATGGATAACAGTCACAACAAGATGACTCCAGCCCTTAAAAAGGACCCTCGCTTGGGGTGCTCTGAATGCCCCTCGAGGAAGCTTACACGGGACCCAGAGCCTGCACACAGCACGTTCACACAGTTTCCAGTGCACGTACTGATCAACCCAAGCACAGCTGCCGGATCCCGGGAGATGCTGCCCAGACACCCGCTAATAAACGGGGAGAGAGGGCTGCAGCAGGGCACATGAAGGGAGGAAAAGCCACAGGAATCTAGCTATAAAGCATGCGATTGGAGGAACTGGATCCAGAACTCCTCCTCGCCCTTCCAATTTCCACCAAGTTCCTCCGTTATCAGTAACGCTCTCCAAGAAGCAAAAACATAAAATGTTCACTGTCTCTTTCCTTGTGGAAAACACAGATTTCGCGTCTTTTCCTCGCCCTCTGCCGAGATCTGCCCCTACAGTGAGACCACCTTCCCCCACCCCCAGCAGGGGGCACCCATTTCTGGGGCGGGGTGTGAGGGTCCCAGCATCCTCTGGGGAATTTTCCCGAAGCTCCTGAGGCTTGAAATGGGTGCTATGGAGGGAAATGAGACACCTAGGAGATTTCACCCCGGATGGTCTGCATCTTTTTCAATGGGAATTGCTTCAGCAAGCAGAGCACCTAGGAAGCGTGAGGATGCTGTCGGTTCCGCAGAACAGGCCGGTTCAAAGCTCAGCGCTGCAGCCGACTTGTCCCCCACCCTCACCCGGTGGCCTCTGAAGTGCTTCCCAGTAATGAGCCACGACGGGACCCAGCCACCACCTGCTTCTTTATGCACAGCGCCCTGGCCGCCTGTTTAGATGTGTCGGCCCCTTTCTTCTCTCGTTTTCCTCCTCCTCCTGCCACTGGTTCGATTTCTCATCATCGGCTCAAATAATTCTTTTTCTCCAATGAGCGCCTCCATTTCCAGGACAGCGGACTCGACTGCTTACAGGACATGCACAGCCCTGGAAGAAATTAAAACTGGGTCAGGGGCGGGGGATAGCTTGGGGAGGTTCTGAACTCAGCCAAGGAGAAAATGACCATGTTTTCACAAAACAGAAGTAAAGAGAGACACACTCTTGAGTAAAGCTAGAGGATGCCTAGACCAGGACCCAGCCAGCATCAGAGACAGGGAAAGTGCCCAGAGGAACCAGTAGGGCGAGGACGCAGCTTCTCAACATCTGGCTGAGATTTAGCCAGCAAAATCTACGAGTCTCTCCAGATACCTGGCAATTACAGAGAGTTACAGATTACCCGTTTTCATCTGGAATGTACTTCTACACTTAGGACCACGGGTAAAATTATAGGGCGACCTGAGCCTAGTTTCACAAGATGGAGATGATGAGGTATTTTCTTGGTAACCACGTCGGTGTGATTTTAAAATTACTGAGCTACGTGGACTTGCCATGAAATTGAATACTTAAAAGCAAAGAGTAATTGCCTGATATCTGTACTCTATAATTTAGTGTAATCTAATCATGGACAAAGCCCAAAAGAAAATGTTCTGAAAGCACTACATTTTTCTTCATACACAATTCATTATTGACATTGGGGAATGTATTCCATGCCTCTAAAGGAACTCTTACCCACAGATTTCAAGGTGTGAAAGTGGCCAAAAGAGTGAGGGTTTTGTTTAATTTTCAGCTGCTGATGAAAAGCAGGTAACCTAACTGCTCATTAAACCCATTCTGACACTTTTCTGTGACTCTGTTTGCCCCTTCATTGACCTAGAGAGATAGGTCAGGGCACTGAGATGAGGCAGCAAGATGCTGGGCAGAGCTGGGGCCGTTCCAGTCCAAATCTGAGCCAAAAATTGCACCTACATCGTCCCCCTTTCCAACCATACTCTCCCAGTGCCCCCACCACGGTGTGGCGCCACCCATGCTATGGTTCGAAGGAAGCCCAGAATAGCCAAGAGGGATGCACGAGGCCGGGGACAAGGTGGATCAAGGGCAAGTCCATGGTCTGGAGCATCTGTAAAGGACCTGATAAATGTGTGCAGGGCTTTTCGCAGGAAGAGAATGAGAAAGGAACCCACTAAAAGATTTATGGCTGTTATTATTATAAGGCTCTGCCGAGGCAGAGTGAGGTCGGCAGGACAGCAGGCAGCGTGGCAGCCCCTTGGGAATCCAGAGCATCCTCCCAGCAGCCCCTCGTCTCTACTAAATGTGTGGATGTGGTTACGCAGTAGATTTAGATATTGGAGCTTGTTTTCCCTCTTTTGACTTTAAGAAATCAGGAAGACCAACCGCAGCCTGAGGTGCTCACCTTAAAAAAAAAACCACAACAAAGTGATGAGAAAGGAGGGCACACAGGACAGCCGTTGACTTTGCGATATTGCCCTCTTCTTGGAAATGTGTGTTCCCATACTCGACAGGCCCAGCAGCAGAACTAGAAGAGACACAGAAAGGCAGATCTGAGAAGGCCCAAAGGGGCCTCGTGGGCAGCTCCCAACACAACACAGGCAGTGGTGGCAAAGAAGCACTAAGATGGAGCCCTTCGAGGGGAAGACCTAAGGGTCAGTGTCAGAAGTGTGGGGACGGTCACGTGGATGAAAGCTGATGGGCAACAAACTGACTTCACTGAAGCTGGTAAAAGTGCTTTGGGGGTGGAGAATGTTGAAGGAGGACCCTGAAGGGTTATCAATCCAGGGAAGGCGTAGACTGGATCGGGGAGTTCAGGAGGAAAATGCAGAGGCCCGAGACATGGGAGGAATGATTGACTCATGAGGTTTTATTCTTTATTCTTTTTTTTAATGAGGTTTTTTTCTTCTCTTTTTTTTAATTTTCCTTTTTTCTAATTTTCTTATTTTTAGTTTTTAAAACTTTTTGGCTGCGGCGCGGCATGAGGAATCTTAGTTGCCTGATCAGGGATCAAACCCGCACCCCCTGCAGTGGAAGCGTGGAATCTTAACCACTGGACGGCCAGGGAGGTCCCTCATGAGGTTTTTTCTGACTGAATTTTCCAAACAGATTGTGAGACTTCTTCTTGGAGGGATGGGGAAGGGAAGCATGATTGGCAAATATGCTGTAAGTGGTGGCACATTACCCCAAAGGCCTGCTAGACCCAGCGAGGCAGAGATGGAGTGCTGGGGGATGGGGGGAGGGAGGGCACTGCTGCAAACATGATGGGTTCGAGGCTGAAGGGAAGACAACAGGGTTCGGGTGGGGCTGGGGGAGGGCTGGGGGTCATTTGGCCCTGGGTGTATGTAGCAGCAGCCGGGACCCCAAACACAAGGAAAGCTGACAAAGCCCACACTGGGGACCACCCCAGGGGTGGCCCCATTTGGGTATATTTTAAATCGCCCCGAGATCCACTGTGTGGAAATATACTGTAACTCTGCGAAATGCTGTAACATTAACTTTGTTTAAGCATCAGTTTCAAGCCCTCTTAGAATACACGGGGCCAGTACTGATGCTGAAAGGCTCATTCTTTATATATTGAACTGCACAGCTGCAAGGAGAAGCACAAATGTTACCAACTCATTTGTCATGCAAACAGTGCTTCAGAAAGAAAGAAAATACTATTATGTGGTATATGTGTTAGGCAATCACTATATCAAATTCATGGTATTCCGTGCAAACACAGGCAGAGGAAAGGAAAACAACACTTGGTGAGAGAAATCGCACCACGTGGGA